CAATTTTTAATCAATTAATTGTTTCCTAATATAAACTATTAATCATAATTAATAAACTCTATTCATATTCCATAAATATTAAAATCATAATAAATGAACTCCAATCATTTCTATAAATATCTCAATTAATTAGGTTGCAAATGTTGTACAAATGCACAAGGTTGTAAAAGAAATATACCCTATATATATATATATATATATATATATACATATGTATGTATGTATAGAGGAGCGATCAAATGAAAACCACCATCATTTGTAAAAAAACCGTACAAACCACCCTCATACGTCGATTTCATTGTTTAATATTATGAAATTTTTTCATGGAATTGTTTAATCTTGTGAAATTGTTTCATATAATACTTTTTTGATGAATTTGTTTCATATATGGTTATGAAATTTTAATGAAACTATTTCATGTATTTCTCTAAAAATAAAATAATGAAGATGATAATATCCATGATTAACACCCTCCACAATAAAAATGGTTAATCAACCTCTCATAATTACAAAAAAAATGAACAAAATGAAAAATTATGAGTGGTTGAATGAGGTTTTCACGGTTTTTACAAATTGAGTGGTTTTTATTTGAATGTTCCCCTATATATGTATGTATGTATGTATGTATATATAGGGTTAGGTTCACGTGAGACCAAGAGTTTTTCATGAGACTTGTAAGACCAATTTATGTTCATTGATCAACTTTATAAACTTATAATGTAATGGTTTAAAGTTGCACGGTGGCAATTTTGTGATGATTGAGAAGTCTCGTGGCAATTTTGTGATTATGAATATTCAGATTGTAGATCTAATTCAATGGTTAAGAATTGGTTTTATGGGCCTCACGAAAAACCTTTGGCCTCACATGATCCCAATTCTATATATATATAGACTTGGGTTCACGTGAAACCAAAGGCTTTTCGTAAGAACCATAAGACCAATTTATGTTCATTGATCAACTTTATAAGCTAATAATCTAATGGTCTAAAGTTGCACGGTGGTAATTTTGTGATTATTGAGAAGTCTCGTAGCAATTTTGTGATTATGAATGTTCAGATTGTAGATCTAATCCAAGGGTTTTGAATTGGCCTTACGGGTCTCACGAAAAACTCTTGGTCTCACATGAACGGCTCTTCTGCTCAGAAACGAAATGTTCCAAATGTTCCTGGAAATTCTTGCTCCCAGTGGACCACTTGTATCTATATGCATCAGCGTAACGATCTGGGCACTGTCTCGGAGAGAGGCTCGGTGAAATAGACATGTCTGTGAAGATGCGGACTACCTTATATATATAGAGGAGCGATCAAATGAAAACCACTTCAATTTGTAAAAACCGTAAAAACTACTCTCATCCGTCGTTAATCTTATGAAATTTTTTCATGAAATTGTTAATCTTGTGAAATTGTTTCATATAATACTTTTTTTGATGAAGTTGTTTCATATGTGGTTATGAAATTGTTTCATATACTACTTAATGAAATTTTAATGAAATTGTTTCATGTATTTTTCTAAAATTAAAATTATGAAGATGATAATATC